TTGTTTTTTTTTGTCATTCTCAGGACTTGGCATTCTATGACTCCCTTCAACACAGAACTTCAGAAACTTCAGTTCTGAGAGACTTTCCTGAAATTATTCTTTGATAATTTCCTACCCTGCATTTTTCTGTTCCCTCTGTGGAATTTTGAATCTTTGGTTTTTGGATGTTTTAGATTTAAGCACTAATTATCTTTCAACTGTCACTTTCTGTCTTATACTTTACCTTATTTCCATGGTGTTCTTTTCCTCTTTGCCTTCTAGTTCTATTGATTTTTTGTAGTGATTATTTTTAAATTTTTAATTTCAAGAATATTTTGTTGTTCTGTCCTCTGTTTTGTTTTTTTTTATATTATTCTGCTCTTAATTTTAGATCAGTCTTTCCTTGACTCACTCTGATGATGCTAATTGCAACTTCTTACATTTTGTAATGCTATTTTTTCCTCTGAATTATGTTCTTCAAACACAATATGGGAAAAGGGAGCTATATAGACTTCCATTCTAATTTATTGTATTTCACCTTCCTGTATCAGTCCAGTTTTCTGCCATATGATATGTCCAAATCCTGACACATCCTAGGATTGTGGTGAGAAGATAAGTTTTCCACTGAGCTACAACACTGATTCCCTCGTCTGCAAATTTTTGCCCAGTTTCATCCACAACTGTTCTGTTAGACTTAAAAAACATTTACACAAAATATTTGTCTGCTAATGGACCTTGTGGCATTCTTTTTATTGTTGTGGAGAGGCACACGCATACACATCTACAAAAACAAGTATATGCACATATACGTAGAATAGAAACAATACAAAGCTTCCATTTATATATTCCCTTACCTTTAAATTACATTATCATAACTTTTTCTCAGTTTAAAAAAGATGTAAAATGTAATATAATCAGTCATAATGATCCCAAATCTGGAAAAGAAACCTGATAATTTTACTTCATATCCATTGTTATAAAACAATGAGATTAATTCTAGTATGCATGTATATTACATACACACACATACACATACTTATATATGTATTTACATGTTTACAAGACCAGTTTTCATTGTGGACTGCCACCTATGTCTTTTTTTTTTTTTTTTTTTTTTTTGAGATGGAGACTCACTCTTGTTGCCCAAGCTGGAGTGCAATGGTGCAATCTCAGCTCACTGCAACCTCCATCTTCCCGGTTCAAGTGATTCTCCTGCCTTAGCCTCCCAAGTAGCTTGGAGCCACTTAATCCTTTTATTATTTATTTTCTTAACAATCAACTGTCACAGATTTTCAAAACAATCAATTTTATTTACTAAATTTCTCAACAGTTCTTAAACTTTATTAGGGTTTAATTGGATGTCATTTTAATTGTCCCATTTTAAAATTAAAAAAAAAATAGAAGGTAAGAGTGGCCAAATGACTTGGGTAAAACCAAGAAATAGGAAACAACTATGGGGTAAAGCCCTTTTCTTAATTGTGAATAATTAAGTATCAACTTTCACGCTGATGCTTTTTCCCTTGTTTTTATAACTTCTACATTATTATTTATTACAATACAATGACAAGGTAATTTATCATGAAATAAAGTCTGGGAATTATGAGTCATACTATAATATATTGTTATGCTTCCTTATAAAGAATAAATAACCTAAAAATTATTGGTTTTGATGTCAATATCTTAGTCAAGAGCCAAGACTGAAGGACAAAAGACGTTGCCACAGTACAGGTAAAAACTCTTATACAATTGAAAATATTCATGTCTACATTACCAAGAATTCGATATATTTGAAGCTATATCACTTTGCATCTCCTTTTAAACATGGACATTTAACATCTCAATACTACCC